CCTCCTTTCCTTCCCTTCCTCCCTCTCCTTCATTCTTTCCTTCCTTCTACCTTGTCTCCTTCCTTCAATCTCCCTTCTCTCCCTCCCTCCCTCCCTCCTTTCCTTCCCTTCCTCCCTCTCCTTCATTCTTTCCTTCCTTCTACCTTGTCTCCTTCCTTCAATCTCCCTTCCCTCCCTCCCTCCCTCCCTCCTTTCCTTCCCTTCCTCCCTCTCCTTCATTCTTTCCTTCCTTCTACCTTGTCTCCTTCCTTCAATCTCCCTTCTTCTCTCTCTCGCTTCCCTCACTCCCTCCCCTTCCTCCCCCCTTTTTTTCTAAAAGAATTATATATACACACTTACCAAAATAATGTTTACACTTTTGTAAAAAGTTTAAAAAAAAAAAAAAAGAGGACAATCCCAATTAGCTAAATATACAAACTAAAAAAGGGAAAGGGAAATTGTATTTAATATTTTAAACTTATAAATAGCCACTGGTTTATCATAAATACACTACTACTATATGTTCAGAGCAAAACATTTTTGCAAAATGTCACAAAAACCTTTGCCGTAGCAACATATATTGGCTACATTCTCTGGTTGGTTATAGAGAGATGAGGGTTAGAGGAAAGAGATTGTGTTTCCCATAATGGAGATGCATTGAAGCCTTGTTTGAGTTTTTTCAGTTTGCCAAATCTTTAGGACCGGTAGGTCATCCCCTCATACTTACCTGAAAGTCTGTCACACCATTTCCTTCCCCCTTTGTGTGCCTTTTGTGTAGGAGAAGGAGAAGCAGAGCCTGAGAGGTTGAGTCAAGAGAGGACCCAGCTTGGAATCATTACATATCCACAAATGCTCCATTGAATTCCATTAAGTCATTTGTAGTGCCAATTTAGTGCTGACAGTTAGTTGCCTGAATTCTTTGTATAGATTTGAGCAATCAGTCTTCTTGGTGCCTAATGCCTTTGTGCTAATCTGTCCCTTTGTGTCCTGAAGCATTCCCTGATCACCTGGCCGACATCGGCATGGAAGGCCGGGGCTCTGAGAAGGGATCCATCCACGGCTCCCAGCCGGACCTGCGACGCATTTCGGAACTGTCTGTGCCCGTAGACTTCCTGCCGCCATCGAATGACACCAAACCCAAACTTATGACTCCAGACGCATTCATGACTCCCAGCACATCTCTGCAGCAGGTAACTCCTTCAGCTCAGAAGAGGGCATCTGGTCTTCTTCTTCTTCGTCTTGGCTGGACTTTGTTCTGACCTAGACTTCCCCAGAAAGCACGAAGCAGAGTCCTGGTCCCCTTTTATGAAACGAATGTGAATTCCTCTCATTCACATTCAGCAAAGACCTGGCAAACAGTCTTTCAAAGGTGAATTTTTGACCACAGACCTTATCTAGGTTGGAAAGCTGCCATGTAAATATTTTCCAAATGCAGTGATGTGCAAGGAAAGACTAGGCACAGAGTCTCTGAGATTCACGGACAGATCTCCACACTCATAAAACGAATTAATTCGTAATTCGTAATTTAATAAACTTAACATGAATGAATGAATGAACTGTTCCCTGCAAAGGCCCACTCCCCTTTCGCTTCTCTTTTATTTCCTATGGGAGTGTCCATTCACCATCCACCTTTTGCTTTACTTCCAAGTCTACTCTGATTTGTGAGTTGTTCTTTTCTTCTGGCAGCTCTGTGCAGGCGCACACTGGGAATAGGCTCCAGCTGTTCCTCTGCCTCACTGCTGTCTAGCTCCATAGGCACCTGATCACTGCCAGACGGTCTCTGCCTCCTACCCAGAGCCCTCGTCCGAGCCTTCCCTAGCTTCAGGACTCCATGGTCCTCCCCAACCTCCTCACTGTCCAACTCTGCTGCCAGCTCTGCTTGTGGGCCACAGCACACTTGCAGCCAGTTTTCCCTGCTCTCTTCATTCATGCAAAATACAGAACCAAATCAAGATTATATTCGGGTTTCATCCATTATTTCCCAGATACTAACAGAAAAGAAGCTGTTGAGGCATGAAAGAGCCTTGTTGGACAAAAAGGAATGGCACTGTTATTAAGAAGCTTTTTGAAGATTGAATTAGCTGGTTCTCCGGGTGGAAAAGTCTTATTTCAGGGGTGCCAAACTCAAGGCCCCGGGGGTCAGATCTGGCCCCTGGGGTGCTTAGAACTGGCCCACAGGGCCGCCCTGAAAACAGCGAAGGACCAGCCCACAGGGTTCCTACCAGTGAAAATGGGCTACCTGTGGTGAACAGAGCACTCAGCCAGTGAAAATGGGCCCCCGAGCTCCGGTTTGGGGTGTGACAGCCTCCTGCAATCCTCTGCCAGCGAAAACAGAGCATGGGCGGCCCTCCCAAACTCTGTTTTGGCTGGCAGAGGATTGCAGGAGGACGTCACACCCACAAACGGAGCTCATGGGCCCATTTTCACTGGCGGAGCGCTTGGTCCACCACAGGCGCCTCCGACACGAGTGAGTTTGAGCTGCACACACACACACACACCGTGGTCAAACAACCCTGATGTGGCCCTCAATGAAATCAAGTTTTACACCCCTGATCTAGTTTGTTTCGAATCTTAAATTTTCCAAGCCAGCACTTAAGTCTGGGATTCCTAGCGTAGACTGCAGATTGGGAACCTGCTGGGAAGTCAGAAAAGCGGACATAAAGCTCAGTAGCTCTTCAGCTGAACGAAACGATTTTCGTCAGCAGCCCAAAATCTACGGCCCCTTAAGTGCAATCCGAAGATCCAGTTTGTGCGATTGATTCCCTCCCTATTGCGTCCGAATAACACCCTCTGTTGTCTGTGCCAGATCACAGGGTCTCCCGGAAGTAGCATCAGTTCCCTCACGGCTGTGACCCCCATGAGCACTTCTTCGGTCGGCGAGCCCCCCCTTCCCAGGTAAGTCCCCATCCTGGGTCGAAGTACAACTAAGATTTCAATTAAGGAAGGCGATGTGTGGCTTCCACAGGTCTCTGGGTCCATGGCATTGTGTTTCTTATTTGTTCTCCTTTTTCATTGTGAGCTGGCCAGAGGAAGACTTTTAAGAAAGGCTTTTTCTTAAAGAAAGTCTTAAGAAAGATTTTTAGCTGTACAGTTTGGGATGAACACCCTTTGAATGGCGTGGGAGTAGAGATGGATTTCTTGGGGGGGGGGGGTTAAAAATCGCAGACTACAGAAACCAGGAGTGACCCTGAGGACACAGGTAAGCATCCAAGGGGCCTCAACCACCCTCTAAAAGGATGTAAATGACCAGCTGTCTGCAAGGAATATAAATCCTTCCATTCCCCCACCATCCAGTCAGAGCTGAAGAAGCTTCTTGGATGAGAAGCGAGACATCCTCAAAACAAGAAAGTCCAGTTGCTTCCTGAAAAAGCACCTCTGGGCTGGTGTCAAGAAAGTAAATGCACAGTAAAAAGTAACGGTCAGATACAGGTAATCCTCAACTTGCAACCACAAGCAAGCTC